GTAAGTTCTTCAATCTATGTGAAGCTCCTACAAATAAAGAAGATAATAACCCAATTTAAAAAATAGCCAAAATCATAAATAAAGCCACAGAGAAAAAAATTTTTAAGATGAAAAAAAATGATCACCCTTACTTGGAGTAAGAAAATGTTTAATGCTAAAATGAGATTTTATTTTTAGCCTACCTGACTTTATTATTAAACTTTTTCAATTTGGCAATGTATTTGTAAGGATATAGAGAAATTGTTATTCATATATTATTATAAAATTATAAATTGGTATAGTCTCATTGGAGAGCAAATAGACAGTATTTATCAAAATTTAAAATGCAGTCATCTTTGCCCAGGAAACTTTATCTAGAAATTTCTTGTTCAGATATACTTACTATATGTTGAAGAAATGTATGAATTTTTTTTGTTGTAACATTATTCCTAAGACAATGATTATAAATAATGTAAAAGTCTAGTTTATCAAGATGAGATTGCTTCTATAAACTGTGGTACATCTATGCAATGGTATAGAATGCAACTGTGAGAAAAAAAGGGCAGTTCTATACATATTACTATAGAAAGAACTCTAAGATATACTGAGTAAAAAGCAAGATAGAATAATTTTTCATTCAAAACTATTAATGTTAATCCTTGGATACAAGGAATACTCTCACAATCAATCTGAGCAACTTTATGTATAATTTTTTTTAACAGATATTTACTGAGTACCTGCTATTTATCAGTACTGTTCTATCTATTTTATATGCTACTATTATACTTTTAAAGAAGATTATATATACATATGTGCTAATATATGCATAGCCTATTTCTGGAAGGATTCATAAGAAACTAGTAATAAGAGTGAAGAATTGAGTGCCTGGAGTAGGAGTGGAAGCAGACTTCATTTACATCTTAAATCCTTTTATGCTTTTATTTATACTTTATATATTACTTATTCAAAAATTATTTTTTGGCTTTTTTGAAAATTTATAATTTTTTGACATTCATTTTATTCTTGTTTATTTCTTTTTGCTAGCTCGGAAGATGGATTTTTTTTTTTGATTTTTAAAAACTTTATTTACTTATTTTTTTAGAGATAGGATCTCACTGTATTGCCCAGGCTGGATTTGAATTCCTGGCTCAAGCAATCTTCCACTTCAGCCTCCTGAGTAGCTGGCACTGTAAATGTGTACCACCATGCCCAGCACAAACATTATTTTTTAATGGAACAAAATTCCTACAGTCAAATTATTTAAAATCTAATTAGAAGACAGGACATGTGTATGAAAAAGTAATGGCAGGCCGGCGCGGTGGCTCACGCCTGTAATCCTAGCACTCTGGGAGGCCGAGGCAGCGGATTGCTCAAGGTCAGGAGTCGAACCAGCCTGAGTGAGACCCCGTCTCTACCATAAAATAGAAAGAAATTAATTGGCCAACTAATAATATATATATATATAAAAATCAGCCGGGCATGGTGGCTTGTGCCTGTAGTCCCAGCTACTCGGAGGCTGAGGCAGGAGGATCGCTTGAGCCCAGGAGTTTGAGGTTGCTGTGAGCTAGGCTGACGCCACGGCACTCACTCTAGCCTAGGCAAGAAAGCGAGACTCTGTCTCAAAAAAAAAAAAAAAGTAATTGGCAGAACAATATAACAATAAATACTTTCACAAAGGTACATATGTTAAATCATCAAATGAGTACCATAGGCAATAAATGCTCTGTTAGGAAGAGCTAACTTCATCAACCTTTGTTTAAGAAGGTTGCCATGAGGAGGCAGTGTAATAACTGAGCGTTGAGGGATTGATGGAATTTCAAAGGTAGCAAGAAAGAGAACATTCTAACCAGAAGGAGCAGCATGAGCAAGGGTGTTATGACAAACATGTATATGCATGTTGAGTGTGAAGGGATTATGAGAATAGCAGTTTGCTGAATTTAAAAGTACATTGGTCAAGATTATGGATGGCCTTAAACAGTAGGATGGTCTACAAGCAAGAGAAGTTCATGAAACGTTTTGAATGAGGAATGATTAAGATTAATCTACAGCCATCTATGGCATTCATTCATCCAACAAATATTTACTGAACTCCTGCTTTGTGCCAGGCTTGTCTAGGGTACTAGGGATAAAAGATTGAATGGAATACCCCAAAGTCCTGCCTCGTAGAGTTGACATTTAAGGAGTGGAATACCAGGAGAGGAACTGTGCAGGGGATCTGAACCAGAGTTAGGGCAGAATTTTACACAAAGGAGTAGATGCTAGAAACATTAAAAAATAATAGATACAGGTGAATGAGAATATAGAGAGAGGACGAAAAGGAAAAGTCAGAAATATCTCTGAGATTTCTAAGTGAGGATGAAGGTGATGATGGACATAGATTCAAATGCTGTGGGAGGTCAGTAAGGACTGAGTTACTGAGATTACTTTTGGTAGTCAGGAATCACTAGTGCTAACATTGCTGTTTCAGTGAGTTGCTGAGAATGGAAGCTAGATGTCAGGGAGTTTTGAAGACTGAGTGGCAGGGAGTGGAGGCAGTGAGTGGATGGATTTACCCCTTAGCCCTCAGACTTAAGGATAACCAGGCGTTACCTGCCTTGGCTTGGGAACCTTAGCTTGATAGACATTTAAATGGTTTTAAAGTTACATTTGTACCTTAATTACCCACTGACTTTTAGTATTTTTATCAGCACTGTTGCCTCTACTGAAAAGATTAACTTTATTCTCACAGTATTTTTGGGTATTTTCTTAGGGATGGAGCTAATGAAAATTTCATTAGCTAGATGGCATTTTTAATTTATTACATTTCATAATATGCTATTTCTACTATAAAATTTAGGATTATAGGAAGATAAAAGTAAATCAGACTTATTTATAATTTGAAATAAAAACTCTTAAGGAAAATGTGCTACCATTTATATAAAGCAATGCTGTCTAATAGAAATACAGTGCAACACAATAAATGATTTTTAATTGTCTTGTCTACACATTAAAAAAAGAAACAGGAGAAATGATTTTTAATAATTTATTTGGCTAATATTATTTAAAATATCATCATTTCAACATGTAATCAAGCTAAACAATCATTGAGATAGTTCATTCTTTTGCTCTTACTATCTTTGAAATCTCAATTTTGACTAGCCACATTTCAAGTGCTGGTACCAAGTGACTAGTGGACATATTGAACAGTAACCATACTGGACAGCACGTATATCAAGAGAAAATAAATCATCAATACAAGTACACTTGGTATTGGCCATGTGCGTAAGCCAGTTGGTCACTGGAAGAATAAAAACTACTTTGAAATTGTGTGTAGTTAACCATTCAAGTCATGTTTTCTATTTCTCTAGCCACATTATTGTTTACCTTGTAATTCTTTATTCCCTGCCTATTAGGTGCTTTCAAAATATCTGTGGATCAGAGCAAAGGGAAGCAAAATTTTCTTGCTACTTTCTCTAAATAGTGGCTCTGACATCTAATGACCCCTGAAGGTCAGGTGACAACTATGAAAACACAGTATCTGTTTATTTTAGAGGTTACTATTACTTACTTAAAATTCTCCATAGTGCAGGACAAGAGAGAGGGAGTAGGGTATTATTTTACATGGATGATCATGGAAGTCCTCTCTGGAAAGGTGGCGTCTGAGCAAAGACTTGAAAGAGGTGAGGAACAGAGTCATGAGGATGACTGGGAACATCATTCTAAGCAGAGGAATAATAAGTACTAAGGTTCTAAGATGTGAGCATATTTGGCATTTTCAAGGATAGCAAGTATGTCAATGTGACTGAAGCAGAGAGGAGGAAAATGGAAGCAGATGTCTCGGAAAAGTTGGGGTGATGGTTGCAGATCGTCATATGAGGCTTAGACTATGATAGTGATCTTGGAATTACCATGTGAGATGGGAGCCATTTGGAAGTTTTTAAGCAGAGGAGTGACGTCATCACATTTAGGTTTGAAAGGCTAACAATAGCTTCTGCATGGAGCATAAAACTAGCACTCCAGTTAGGAATCTATTACAAAAGCCCAGGTGATAGAAGATGGTACTTGGACCAGGCATTAGTTGTAGAGGTAGAGAAATAATTTGTTTCTCAATATATTTGAAGAGAGAGCTGATAGGATTTGTAGGGTTTCAAAA